TATATATATGTGTGTGTGTGTACTGTTAATGCAGTGCTCGTGGACAGTTCATGTCGTCATTGCGATGCCATGACTGTGGCGCAATTGAGATCGCGGCTAGCCCTTGTAAAAGGGCGAACCATTCCAGCTGTCCCCTGCACTGCAGCGGTTACTCGGGCAAATCTGAGGGTTTCAGCGAGAGATAATCCGTCGCCCACGGGTCCTCCCGCTTCTCCAAGCGATCCATCTAAGCTTTAAGTGGGGGTATCGATCCGTCTAACGATGGGATGGTAGCCCTTACGCTCGATGACACCGGAGACCAGACGTCCACTGCGGCACCGGTGGGCTTTCATTGTCCGATGATGATTCAGACCCGCTCGCCCCCTCCGGGCAGGTGAGCGCTGTCAAGACGGATCCTGAAACGAACATGTTAGCCGTGCTTTCCCAGGCTGCTTAGGCCGTGGGGTTGGCTATGGTTTATCCCCCAGCTCCGCGGCCGGACCAACTAGATGGGTGCTACATAGAGGACTAGAGGGCGAAGCCTTCAAAGCCTCTCATCCCCTTCTTCCCGGAGGTACACAGTAGGCTCACGCAGTCTTGGAGGGCACCTTTCTCTGCCCATTTTGCTTGTTCCTCCGCCCTCACCACTCTTGACGGTGGAGCGGCCAGGGGGTATGGAGCGATTCCACTGGTTGAGCGCGCCATAGCGGTCAATCTTTGTCCGCGTGGCACCTCTTCTTGGGGGGGGTCCGTCTTGTCTCTCGTCCAAAGCCTGTAGGTTAGCCTGCGGGCCAGGCTGTTTCTGCCTTGCACGCGATGGCCACCTACCAGCGCTACCAAGCGCAGGCTCTGGCCGAGCTGCACGAGGGTGGGTCCAACCCAGGATTGTTACACGAGCTTCGCACCGCAACCGACTATGCTCATCGGTTCACTAAGTCCGCTGCGTGTGTGTTTGGCAGGATGATGTCCACATTAGTGGTCAAGGAGCGCCACCTCTGGCTAAACCTGGCTGATATGCGCGAAGTCGACAAAGTTCGGTTTCTTGACTCCCCCATATCCTAGGCTGGCCTGTTCGGCGACACCGTCAGTGAATTCACCCAGGAGTTCAAGGCGGTGAGAGAGCAGTCGCATGCGATGGGCAATGTCATCTATCGGCGGGACCGTAAGCCCCCTCCGCCCGCCAAACCATCCACATCTGCTGCTCCTCGCCGAGGGCATCTGCTTACGAGTGCTGCCCTGCCCCCACCGCGGAACTCCTGCCCAGGGCGGCGTTAAGTCTGGTAAACGGACATCCCTGAGACAGGTCATCCGGAGAAGAGAAAATTTGCTCTTTCCCCGCTGGAGGGCGGGGCCCCAATTCCAATGGTACTTTTCAGTGCCACGAAAACATCAATGAAAGAGCCCTTTTCCTCTTCCCCGGATATGACAGCATGAACCCTGCCAGTCCGGGACGCTCGCAGGCTCTGTGCGCTTCGCCAGTGGCTCACGAGCGCTGGGAGGACGGTCTCGTTTCTCCCAACCCTCGAGCCCCCTCTCCGGAGTTAGGGTGCAGAGTGAGAGTAAATCTCTCGCCTCCAGCTCTTCCACGGAAACCTCGCGCTTCCTGGATCAGCACACCCACTCCGCGCTGCCCCACTGCTGGTACGTTAGCGATTGTAGCGATGAGTCCATTAGTGAGAGCTCTGCCTGCCTGGTTAGCGCGGGCCAGCCCTTCGCGGTGGCTCATACGCACAATCAGACTCGGTTATGCGATCCAGTTTGCGAAACGGCCCCCCAAGTTCACGGGTGTGTATTTCACCAGGGTCAGCCCCCTGTCCGCTCCTGTCTTGCAAGAGGAGATTGCTGTCCTCCTGGTGAGGGATGTAATCAAGCCGGTCCCTCCAGCCTTACTTTACATTTTACAGCCCGTACTTTATTGTACCCAAAAGAGCGGTGGGTCACCGCCAATCCTAGATCTGCGCGTTTTGAACCTCTGTTTGCACAAGCTGCCGTTCAGAAGGCTCACGCAGAGGCGCATCCTCCGGTGCGTTCGTCCTCGGGATTGGTTTGCAGCAATAGACATGAAGGACGCGTATTTCCATATCTCCATTCTTCCTCGCCACCGTCAACTTCTGCGGTTTGCGTTCGAAGGTTGAGCGTGGCAATACAAAGTCCTCCCCTTCAGGCTCTCTCAGTCTCTGCGGGTCTTCACCAAGCTCGCGGAGGGTGCCCTAGCGCCCCTTCGGCTCGCAGGCATCCGCATACTTAATTATCTCGATGACTGGCTGATTTTAGCTCACTCTCGGGAGCAATTGATTATGCACAGAGACAAGGTGCTCCGGCACCTCCACCTGTTGGGGCTTCAGGTCAACCGGGAAAAAGAGCAAACTCACCCCCGTGCAGAGGATCTCTTTTCTCGGGTTGGAGCTGGACTCAGTCACCATGACAGCATGCCTCTCTGAGTGTGCTGAGTGTAATTGCACTGAGTGTGCTCCGCTGATGCTGAACTGTCTGAGAGAACCCGACAGCAAAAAACCTTTACGTCCTTAAGAATGGAGACTCCACGCAGAGTCTGTTCAGCTGATACGGGCGCGATTCGGGGAAGCCCAGATCGATCTGTTTGCTTCTCCCGAGAACGCTCATTGCTAGTTGTTTTTTTTCCCTGACCGAGGGCTCTCTCGGCACGGACGCACTGGCCCACAGCTGTCCTAGGGGCATGCGCAAATATGCGTTTCCCCTAGTGAGCCTGCTCACGCAGTTACTGTGCAAGGTCAGGGAGGACGAGGAACAGGTTTTGCTGGTTGTGCCCCTCTGGCCCAACCGGACCTGGATGTCAGAGCTCTCCCTCCTCGCGATGGCCCTCCCCTGGCAGATCCCTTTGAGAGAGGACCTACTCTCTCAGGAACAGGGCACCATCTGGCACCCTCGCCCCGATCTTTGCAACCTCCACGTGTGGTCCTTGGATGCGAGGAAGACTTAGCTAACCTACCGATCGCGGTGGTTATTATCATCACTCAGGCTAGAGCCCCCTTCATGAGGCACGCCTACGCCCTGAAGTGGAGTCTATTCACTGAATGGTGCGTCTCTCACAGAGAAGACCCCCGAAATTGCCAGATCAGCGTTGTGCTTTATTTCCTTCAGGAGAAGCTGGAGAGCAGGCTGTCGCCCACCACACTCAAGGTTTACGTGGCTGCCATCTCCATCATGAAGCGGTGGCTGGCAGCATCGTGGGAAGGCATAACCTCATCATCCGGTTCCTCAGAGGCACTAGGCAAATTAATTCAACCCGCCCCCCTCTCATACCCTCTTGGGATCTCGCCCTCATTCTCACAAGCCTGCGTACAGATCTCTTTGAGCCACTTGACTCAGTAACTTCAAGATTTCTCTCCCTGAAGACAGCTCTGCTGGTCACGTTGGCATCTATTAAGAGGGTCAGGGACCTGGAGGCATTTTCGGTCAGTGACTCGTGCCTGGAATTCGGGCCGGATTACTCTCACGTTATCCTGAGACCCAGCCTTAGAGTTATCCTGAGACCCACCTTATTTTATAGACCAGGTAGTGAGCCTGCAAGCGGTGCCCCCAGAGGAGGCAGACCCAGCCCTTTTGTTACTTTGTCCAGTTCGCGCTTTGTGTATTTATCTGGACCGCACTCAGAGCTTTAGATCATCTGAGCAGCTCTTCAACTGTTATGGTGGTCGGCAGCAGGGAAGTGCCGTATCAAAACAGAGGTTGGCCCACTGGATAGTGGATGCCATCTCTCTCGCTTATCAGAGCCAGGGAGAGCCGTGTCCCCCGAGAGTGCGTGCGTACTCCACTCGGAGCATCGCATCCTCTTTGGCGCGTGCACGTGGGGCCTAACAGACATCTGTAGAGCTGCGGGCTTGGCGACACCTAATACATTTGCACGGTTTTACAATTTGCTTTGAGTGTTTTTAAAATTGCATTTTAAAATATTCTACATCATTTAAGGCCTCTGGGATTTAAATGGCACCAATTAATACGAATAATCTAGCTAGTGTTTTTCCGCTACCAATAAACTTCTGGCAAATGGTTAATGTGACTTTTTTTCCTCTGTTAAACCGTTCCTTTTACAGCATTGATGCTTTAATGAAATTAAAATACAATTAGTTCAATAGACTTCAGCATTAGTTTAATTGTTCAAGTTTAAAATGAGATAAAAAGCCATTTACATGCATCAGGTTCAGCAGGCAATGCAGAAACTCCGTTGAAAAAACTGGGGTAAAATATTTTTTATATTTTAAAGACATGGAGCAGAAAATGGGATATAATGCACTGCTTCTTGCATATTCTGAGACCCACTTTATATCGTATATCAATCAGGCAGTGGAGATCGTTGATTTTTAAAGAAAACAGACTATTTTGGTAATTATATAACTCCATACAGTTCACCAGAAGAGCTTTAACTGGGTTACTTAAAATTAAAAGTCCTGCATATACCCTAAATGTTAACATTTCACAAAGGTACATTTTTTCTTCTTTAGATTATTACCATTTTGGGGAACCAAAAAAGTTTCTTCTAAGGCAGCAGAATGAAAAACACTTTTTTTTGTTCTTCCCTGCAGTTTTATCTTACACTCAGTTGCAACACACTGTTTAAGATAAACGATTTCATAAGTTTATCACACTCACTTTCCTTTAGCTTCATTACAAGGCGTTGCGAAAAGATGTGATGGAATAGATATCAATTTTATTTAAATGCTTTTGCAAACGTTCTTTAGCAATAGCGAATTGAATGTGGACGAGAAAACAGCAATACGGTACGAAATAATGAAAAGGATATTATACAGCTTCATAATAGTCACATACTTATTTTTTTTATCTTTAAATAATATAATACTGTTGTATAGTATATATAAAATAACAGGGCCTGAATTGAGTGTGGGATAGATGGTTCCCAAATTTTTTTATGTTAAACAAACCACTGCAATACCTGCAGTGCAGGTACTAACAAAATATAATGCAACAAGTTTCATCAATTTCCAAAATTGAGTTTTTATTTTCAATATTTTTAAAAACTGCTTTTAATTTACAGTGTGAGAGAGTTACATACAGTAAGTAGCCATTGTTAAATCATTTCCAGTATAATTCTGGCCCTAAATAATTCCTGCACAACTCATAGATCCCTTACAGTATAGTACATAGCCCTTAATGCAGCTAAACAACTAATTTATGAAAAATAGTTATAAAAAAAACAAGGTAGATTTGTTTTCTTGCAGGTAACAAAGGCAACGAGGTAGTCGATGGACACTGTACTTTTCCTTTTGAATAAAAGTAAATAGCTAAATTTGGATTGTGTGATACTATGTTAAGCTGTTTTTGCAAAGAGTTTTAAATAAAATGTAAGAAAAAAAAGATTTGATATGATGATTTGATATCATGACTTTCAACAATGAAAACAGAACATTACAGTATTGACACTAAATAATATACAGTAAGTTCTGTATGAGATGCTAGATAGTGAAAGTCATAGCTGGGATGCTTAATATGCAAAAAATGATAGAATGTTACTTCATTTGCAGACCCTGAATTGTGCTGTCCTCAGTATTTTCTGAGGTCCAATTGATGTTCTTGGGTTTGAGTCCACAGTAAAGAGATGTGAAGAGCTTCCTGTACTCTTGCCTGATCTGGAAAATAATTAAAGATTATTTAAATCTCTAGCTAAACATATACACATATTATTTCCCAACTGATTACTTTCTGAAGATTAATACTGTAGATGAAAATGGCAAAATCCCTGATAGTACGTAGAACACGGAAATGTCTATTTGTTATTATATCTAGAATATTTATTTACCAGAGCATTTGCCTATCTGCAAAATGTCTATTTGATATTTATTTTTGGAAATTAAATAGATGGTTAAAATGTCTTTAAAAATGTTTAATATTCATACAGCAGAGTTTTTACAGAGGATTTTTAGCCCTATGATCCCAGCAAATGTCATTCAGATCAAAGAGCGATGACTTTATGTTAGAGTGTGATATCTGACCCCTTTATTGAGGACGCAGTAGATGAGGAAGATGAAGGTTCCCTGCTGGGAGTTCAAGATCAGGAAGAGGATCTCCAGCACTTTACTGCTATTAGTGAAGAAACCCAGAATCCAGGAGCAACCGAGAACCACAAACTGAGCCAGGGTTTTAAACATTATAATCCTACAGAGGAATCAAGAGTTAATTTTTATCATCCACATCATATTTAGTATAGATTGATCAAATCATAATGTCTGTTACTTGGTTTGATTCAGCTGTGAAACGTCAGAGTTCAGTTTTTTGAAGGCTGACTTCAAACTGACCCCGATGCCAATGAAGAGAATTACGTTTAACTGCAGAGTAAAACAAAACTGTATTAATCACATTGTTTTCCTTATAAATAAAAGCCCTGTTAAAAAGATAAACACGTTTACAGCTAGTATGACGGTAACAGGTCCCAAAAAACTCCAGATGAAGCCTTTATCCATTTTAATCCAGCATCTGTTTGGAGAAGGATGCAGACAAATGAACACTGAACACAAACTGCACAATGAAGGTGGTAAGAACTGAATCATTTGAAGTAAACTCACTTTTCACTTCCATAGCCTTTGGGAACCACTGCCGCAGAAATGCCCACCACAACCAGAGCAACAGCATATCCTATCACACACAGGAATATATTGCGAAGCACATTCCTCTTTTGGGAGCTGATCTGGGAGAGGTTCTTCACACAGATGAAGAGCAGCACAGCTTCAATGAACATCCACACAAACCCGGAGAGAAAGAGGAAGTGCAGAAGGCCTGATATCACCTCACACAACATCTAGGGAGCATGAGAGATGTTTATGATGATTCTCTATAAAGTTAAATCAAACATTACAGCGTTTATTTTGCTAGCTCACACTGTTATACTTAAGGCAAATAATTAATCCTTGCAAGTTAATTCACTTTAAAAAAAACAAACAGTTTGAATTGTTTCCGCATTCAGAGTGTAGGGATGGGCGATACCAATATTTTAATTTCCAATCTGATACCAAGTGCTTTAAGTCAAGTATCATCGATACCAATAAATAACCAATGCTTAAATGAAATATTTTGTTGTTATTTATAATAAAAATGTCCATCACCTTTATTATTTTCATTATTATTAAATAAAACAAGACACATGGTTCCTTTTTACATTTATTAAAACTACATAATTATAATTGGCTAAATAGCACTATAACGAAAAATAACATAATGCAAAAATCATGCTTCATTAAATGAAAAATCGTCCTTTTATTGTTTTATTTAATTAAACAAATGATTGTTGACACTCTCCTTTCGAGTGTGCTTTTTTACTGATCAAAATCTTTTGTTTTTGAAAAGCAAAATATAATAAAACAAATAGTTACCTAACAAAAAATCCTTGACAGTCAATAGACTGGAATGAAAAAAAAATAAACAAATTAAACGAGAGATGTCTTTGGGGCTAGAATTTCTTCACCTTATTTAAAGGTCAAGGCAGCAGAACTTTGGATTGAATCCTAAATTTAAGCTGCAACATTCATTTGTGCTTTCTGATTTTAATCAGTTTCTAGAATTTTGTGAAGGACAACAGAATGTTGACATTTTTCTCCTTTAGACGATTTCTTCTTTGACTGATCAAAAAAAAAAAGGGGGACAAATTATGCATATAATATAATATTACAAAAGAATCATATATGATTCCCCCTTAGCATATAATATTTATACTTTGTGTGTGTGTGTGTGTGTGTGTGTGTGTGTGTGTGTGTGTGTGTATGTGTGTTCATATGGACATTTATCAAATTTAACCTTCATATAAACTGGCTGGCTGTATTAAACTCGACTCTACTTTTTGTATTAAAATAATTCCCATTTGGTACCTGGATAATGACCGGATTTCTTAATAGATTCTGCCAAAGAACTTTGTCTTTAACAGGAAGATTGGGGGCTGTGCTGCTGAAACCTCCTCTGCACGCCTCTTGATGAAATGCAAGAGCTGCATTTCATCATGCTCTTGGGGATGCTTTGCTTTTAGATGCTTTGTTATATTGGTGGTATTGCCACTGTGGGGAACAGTTTTGTGACAAGTATCACACAAAGCCTCTTCATTATTTACTGGAGTAAAATAACTCCTGATTATACTTTGTTTACGTTCATTGATGATAACCACAGCTCTTGAGTTTTACAACCTGCACTGGGTGTGTGTGGTGTCTGTACTACTGTGCAGTGAGCTAACAATGACCTATTAGCAGAGATACAGCAGAAGAATAATATAGTACCCATTTCTGTTCCTATTTAAGGTAATATTTAAATACTATGTGCCACTATAATTATTAATATATTCTAAAATCTCTTATCACTGAGTAAGAAAAACCCCAGAAAAGATTGATACTTTTATATAAGAATCGATCCTTTTGGTACATTCCCAGTATTGTAAATATCGATACTGGGAATGTATCAAAATATTGATAATATATTTCAGGATTGATCCGCCCATCCCTATTGGAGTGTTGGTCCTTCTCTGTTTACATCAACTTGAAGGCTTCCATAATAACTGACAGGTTTTCCTCAGGAATGTGTCCTTTTTATATTATATAGTAATTATAGTAGAAGTATATTCATCTTCTAATATATTATGTAAATGAGAAGATATCTTAGACCTTTGGTGGAGGACTTTGTTTCTTGCTGTGCAAATTCTAAATTTAAATATTGCAAAGACCAAAGACATGTTGATAGATTTTTTTGAAAAGACTGCCATTACTATTTTACCTACTGTCATTAATTATTCAATAATCATTAAATATTTGGGCACAGTAATTTATAGTAAAATAAATTTTGAAGTTATCAATGAGGCTATTTGCAAAAAGGTGAAAAAAACAGCTTGCTTTTCCTTAAGGAACACAAATTCTTTTAAAGTATGCTTAGTGTTCTTTCTTATTCTATTATTGTTTTGTTTGATTATATCAGGTTGTCTAGTGGGAACAGACTAACCAGTCTAATTAAAACTGCATCCAATGCTATTGGAGTTCAACACACATTGCTCCAAAATATTTTTAGAGAAGGGTGGCATGGTGCCTCAATGGTTAGCACTGCCACCTCCCAGCAAAATTGTTGCTGGTTCGAGTCCTGGCTCGGCCAGTCGTCATTTCTGTGTGGAGTTTGCATGTTCTCTCCGCTTTCCTTTCTCGGTCCAAAGACATGAAGTATACAGTAAATGAATGGGATGAACTAACCCGAACTGACTGTAGTGTATGAGTGTGTGTGTGAATGTGAGAGTGTATGGATGTTTGCTAGTACTGGGTTGTAGCTGGAACGGCATCCGCTGGGTAAAACATATGCCGGAATAGTTGACGGTTTATTTTCCTGATAAATATGGGGCTAAGCCAAAGGAAAATTAATCGATGAATGAATTTTAGAGAACAGAAGGCTAAAAAAAGCTTGTACAATAATTACATTTTCCATCTCATCCATTGCACAAGGATTTTGTTGTACTCCCATCAGGCCATAGGTTTAGAGCAATATAGGGAAGGACAAGTAGAGTAGATTTAAGAATCTTTTTATAACAGCTGTTATTTCCACTTAAAATCACGTGTAAAGATGCTGGAATATAAATAAATTTAAAGGATGGATATGGATTTTAATTTACCTTAGACCCTTTTTTCAAGGTTTTTAAATGTTTGCGTAAAATGGTGGAGCAAAAAAAGCAGTTTCCATCGAAGGAGCAGATTTCCTAAGAGAGCAACATTGTCCAAGATGTTTTTCCAACCGTGAGTTGATGTTGTGGTGTCCTTGCCCCAGAGGACAGAAACAAACACTGTATCACATGTCTGTGGGTCCAGCATATTGAGCAGATGCTTGTGAACAGCTCTTGCCCTCACTGCGAGGGCTTGAGTATTGCGCAACTGAGGTCGCAGCGCACTCTAGCATTAGGGTGTGTCACCCCTGCTGCTCCTCGCCAGTCGGTTAGCACATGAGCTGACCTGAGGATCACAGTGGTGGCTTATCCCATGGACTCCTCTTCTGTGCACTCTGTAAAAGCTCTGAGTGAGAGTGCCGGTCTATCCACTGAGATGACCACGTTCTCATTACATGGCACCAGGGACGTGATGTCCTTTGCTGCATCGGAGGGTGGGCTGGCATGCTTCAATGAATATCCAGATCTGCCGCCACCCTCCGGGGTTGTCATTGTGGCCTTGGTTTTAGAACTGGTCATGTTGGGCATGTTATCTTGAGCTGCTTTGGCCATGGCACTGTAGATGGCTTGTTCCCCAGCACTGCGGCCGGACTAAGAAGAAGGCCAAGCCCCCGGTCCCTTTCTTACCGGAAGCACACAGTGAGGAAACGCAAGCATGGAGGACACCTTTTTCTGCCTCATGCACCCCCACTCTCACCACCCTTGATGGTGGAGCAGCCAGGGGTTCTGAGGCAATTCCTTAAGTGGAGCGCACTATTGTGGTCAATCTTTGCCTGCAAGGAGTCTCCAGCTGGAGAGGTCCACCCAAGCTCCCTTCCAAAGGTTGCAGGTTATCTGAATCTCTTACGGCCAGGGTATACACTGCTACAGGCTAGGCTGTGTCTGCTCAGCATGTTATGGCCACCTATCACTACAACCAAGCGGAGAAGATGTCTGAGCTGCAGGATGACGGTTCTTCCCCGGGCTTGATGCATGAGCTCTGCACAGCAACTGATTATGCTCTCATGACCACCAAATCGGCTGCCCGTGCCCTGGAGAAGACAATAGTCACACTAGTGGTCCAGGAAAACCACCTCTGGCTGATCCTGGCAGATATGAGGGACATGGATAAAGCTCACTTTCTAATAAAAGAGCAGTTTCCTTATATGGGTGTGCATACCTGAGCTCAGCCAGTCTAGGATGCTCCGCCTTCCAGCTCAAAGCGATCGTCTATATTGCTACTGGCTCCCAGAGTGCAAGAGAACGGTCTCCTTTCTCTCAGTCCAGGTTTATCGTGGGATCCAGGGAGGAAGGCTTATTTTCAGCTCTTCCTTGGGCGGTTTTGCATCCCGGGATGAGCACTCCTCTCCCGAGCTGCCCCTCCACTGGCATTTCAGTGATTGCTCTGATGGTGCCATTAGCTCAGGCTCTGTCAGCCTGGTTAGCACTGCCCAGCCCAAGAAAGGAAGTGCCGTATCAAAACTGAGATAGTTGATGCCATCACCTTCCCTTATCAAGGCCAGGGTGAGCTGTGTCCGCCCGGGGGTGAGAGCACACTCAACCAGAAGTGTCGCCAGTCTTGGGGGGTTAGCCCGCGGAACCTCTCTCACAGATATCTGTCGAGCTGCGGGCTGGGCGACACCTAATACATCGACTCCCTGGTTTATCGGGAGGAAATTAAGCTTAGTGTAAAAACTGCTTGCTGAGCCATGCTCCTTTACTTAGAGATACGTTCATTTTTTCCGTGGTGCTAGTAAGTTTCCTGTTTGACGAATCCTAAAGAACTCCTCCGATGCCCCAGCACCCGACTCAGTGGAGGAGCCAGGTTCCTTGCCTAATGTGATATGCCCACTTGGTCTACCCACATGCTGGGGTTTGGTGCCAGCTATGCATGGTCCCCATTGGCAATCCCATATGCTTATTTCATCCACGGAGTGTTCCTTCTTTTCAAGTGGACACATGTCTTCCCCTCCCTCTAACCAGCTTATCATATGTAGCACCCCCCCCCCCCCCAACCTCACTCCCCCTCGATAGAGCTAATAGTAGTTGTTACTACCATCAAGTCTCCCCTTTTTGAGCTCCACAGCACCCTCCCTCTTCGGAGACTGCAACACTTTCCCAACGTATTGTTGTAATTTCAATATCCCTAGTCCATATTGCTAAATAAAAGCACATTTACGAATGCCAATCTAAATTCTTTTAAATTATTCCCATGTAATGGTAATTAAGGGCTTAGGGCACTTAAGAAGATTGTGCCTAACATTGTGCACTCATGCTATGCATTGCAAACTTCAAATTAGAGGTGTAACAGGCTTAGCTGCTGGGATGTTTTCCATACACTCTTCCATACACTCTTTCTCAAGACACACGTCAGAGTTCCCATGAAGGGGAACGTCTTGGTTACGAAGGTAACCCTCGTTCCCTGAATAGGGAACAGAGACCGAATAAGGTACAGAGAGATGTACTCTGTTAATGATTAATTGCTGGGACCCGCGAAGCCAAGCTCTGCCAATTCATTTGGCATTCATTGACCCGTTTTCTTACTCCTCAGAGGGACTGGTCATCTAGCGATCTCCCATATTGTCTTTTTCAAGACAGTTGTTGTCGTTCGTAACAGAGACATTTTCTGTTGTCTGTTTTTGAATGATATATGTGTGACTGTGTCAATCAATTGTGTCATCTGTGCAAATAAAAATTTCTAAGGGATTAATAACCTAACCTAACTGTATAAACATCTCCTTTACCATATACCCCTTCCTTTTAGTTTGCTATGAGAGAATGGTGTACAAATTGTTTTCTTCATTCTCACCTGCTGACGGCGAATGAGGCTGAGGAACTGTTGTGTGAGCAGAAACAGAAGGTGAGCCAACAGCAGACTGATGCAGATGTTGATTCGGGCCACATTATTCACTCCAGGACCCCACTGACAAAAAGCAAAGGTCAACAAGGCCAAACTGAAGAACAGCAGCCCCACGATCACACACACCACATTCAGCACATTCAGCAGAGAGTCGTTCTAAGAAAATAAGAGAAACAAGAGGGAACAAACAAGAGTGTCAAATTCAATTAACTTCAGTTTCAAAACCATCTTCCTTTACTTGGCACTTTTAACTAATTTATATATTATATCAGATAAAACTAACTGTAAGGAACAATGTAGCAGAGTCTTCTGCAATAATGGAGGCTTTTTCAACAATATCAATGTCAGAGAGAGAGAGAGAGAGAGAGAGAGAAAGAGAGAGAGAGAGAGAGAGCGTTCCATACTATAAAAAATAGCATCTTTGAGAACAACCAGACTTAAATAATCCGCTTCAAGGCCCAGAGAAGTGTGCTGTTATGTGGAGATCTCAATGCTAGAAAAGGGTTCTTAACTCAATGGGAATAAGTACATATCTCGACAGAGTTATCAACAAAACAGTGTAAATGTCTCTAGGAATAACTCTGATGCCCATAAATAATAACGGAAAGCTCCTTCTTGAGCTCTGTCAAAGTCTCGGCTTGTATCTGGTCAATAACAGGTTGATAAGAGACTCTCTGGAGAGATACACCTGCATTTCATTTTTCAGTAGCTCAATAGTTGACTACACGATCACAAATTTAGATCTGTTCTCTTTCAGTGCATTCACTGTTAAACCATTAACAACTCTATGGCTATGTTCACACTGCAGGCAAATGTGGCACGAATCAGATTTTTTCCCCCTCATGTGACTCAGGTGATGACAGTGTGAACAGCCCAAACCACATGGAATCTGATATTTTCAAGTCAGATCTGTGCCACTTTCATATATAGTCTTCAAACAGACACAGATCTGGGGCCTCATATACGAAGACTTGCGTGGAAATCATACTAAAACATTGCGTACGCAGAAAAAAATTCAGATGTATGAAACACTGTGTACGCCAAATCTCACGCATATTCTTTTGTACATCCGAATGAACGTGAAACTGAGCGCAACATGCACGAGCACAAAACCCCTCCCTGCCTCCTCCCCCGTATGAATATGCTAATGACTCTACTTTGGCAGCTCGTAAGATGCAGGTCAACATGTTTTGACATGTTCGAGCATGAACTCGGTTCGAATCCAGCATCCGATTAACTCTTTCTTCTTTTTTCCCCCGATACATATCAGATTTTGCCAACTATTTATCACGAGAAAGACAAGTAGGAATCATTAATAAGTTTGTGCATCATATTTTATTTGCACATTTATTGAATGGAAATGTTTCTGATTCACGCATGAAAATTCATCTTCAGATAGTGTCTTTATAGCAATGTGCGTGCAGTAGATAGCTAAGATTACACTGGGAAAAAAAGCGACCACTCCAAATTGTGCTTTAATGTTTAGCTTTTCAACTGTATGGTATGGAAACCTTATATACCTGCTAGATGAACCCGTCTCATACAGCTGCCATTGCAAGGCTCAGACACTAGAGAGGAATTTAACACAACTGCCTCTAGGAGTCGCCAATGGACATAAAACAGACTCGCACAAAAAATGTGCGTACGCCAGCCATAAAGCTGGCATGGAGCTGCGCACATTCCCACGTTCAGTTCATCGTTAGTAAATCCAACTGGATAGTTGTGGATAGGGGATCTGTGTGCAAAGGATGAAGAACTTTCTCTCAGAGAGAAAAAAGGGCAGGTGCTTGAGCACACAAACCCCCCTTCTGCACGTGTCTGCTGTTTATAACAAAGTAAAATTAAATAACTCTGCAAACTGAGATAAACCAACTCCACCTTCACAGCTCAGTCTGCAGCTGCTCTTTAACCCTTGATGAGTTCACTACACTGGTGATCACAGCGCCACACACCGCGGTTGTCATGAATCACACACGATCAGTGTTTTTTTTTTAATCATATGAGACTTATTTTAGGTCTCAAATGCCGAAATACACATTTGTAGTAGCAAAACAATCATTTACAGTTTATGAATTACAGCACGGTTGTCTGTGAAAAGGGTAATAAACATATAAGCATTATCTGACAATGTGCTTACCCATGCAGCACACACGTGTGCATAATTAGACATTTTGTGCTCTCTGTAATGCACTTTTGCAAATGCAGGTCAGTTTAGGACCATGATCAGCTATGTGAACAATTATGCAAAAAAATCAGGTCTGAGAAAAAAAAAATCAGATTTGAGCACTAAGCCTTGCGGTGTAAACGTAGACTATCAGATCACAGCCAAATTACACTTTATATAAAAAGGACCAAAAATAGTAATCTATTTTCACAATCTAGGAAATTGTATAACAATAAAAATAATTATAGATGGGTAAAAGACAGCTCTGAAAAATACAGGAACGCAATTGAAGACTGTAGGTTTCTTTTGAATAAATTTATGGAAAATAGTTATCCTGATAATGGAGATGTTGTTAATCTAGCTGTAGAAAACATAAACTACATAATTCATAATTTTAACAATATCTAATATTAACACTATTAAGAAAACTTATAAACAAAACAATAGAATGAAAAAGGATCACTTTGATAGTAAAACACTAAGAAAAATATTAAGACAACTATCAAATCAAAAACACAGACAACCAGAGAATACAGATTTACGTCTTTAGTACTGTGATAAGAAAAGAACACAATAAGAAAAGAAGAGTACACCCACAAACAGCAATAAAAACTATTTCTGAAACCTCCTTAATAAAAAGAAATGTGAACATCTAACAATACCAAATGGAGACACCTGGGAAAACCACTTTGAAAAACTGTTCAGTAAAATAAAATGAATACTGAGCAATCATATATATATATATATATATATATATATATATATATATATATATATATATACACACACACACACACACACACACACACACACACACACATATATATATATATATATATATATATATATGATTGCTCAGTATTTATTTTATTTTACTGAGCAAGTACTTGGCAAATATCAAAATCTGACTACCTAATCACAGAAAAAGCGCTAACAGATAAAATACAAGTCCTATGAACAAAAAAAAGGCAAGAGATCCAGATGGTATCCTTAATTAATTTATAAAAACATATCACAAATTCCAATTGGCTATAATGAAACTGTTCAATTTGGTTCTGAGTGTTGGTCATTTTCCTGGAAAATGGAATGGAAATGGAATAAAGGATTAATAATGCTCATATTCAAAAGTAGAGACAAATCAGATCCTAACAACTACAGATGAATCTGTGTAAGCAGTAATCTGGGTAAGCTGTTCTGCTGCATCATCAACACCAAACTCATAGGCTTCCTTACAGAGTACAATGTCCTCAGCAAAAGTCAGATTGTGTTTCTGCCAAATTACAGAATATCAGACCATGTCTTCACCCTTCAGACTCAGATTCACCCTTTAGATTAACAAATACGTAAATCAAACCAAAAAACTAAATATTAGCTTGCTATGTAGATTTTCAGAAAGTGTTTGATTCAATTTGGCATGAAGATCTGCTGTCTAAACTTCTAGAATCAGGTATTGGTGGTAAAATATACAACATTATAAAAACAATATATTTGAACAATCAGTGCGCAATGAAAATTGAAAATAAGCAAACAGAATTCTTCACTGTCACCAACCTCTTCAATATTTACATCAATCAATTGGCAATGCTCCTGGAGCAAGCAGATATGTCTAGTCCTAACAGTTCCTGCTGTTTGCAGATGATCTGGTGCTGCTGTCACCAACAGAAGAGGGTCTACAGCAGGAGCTAGATATCCTGCACAGCTTCTGTCAGACCTTGGCCCTGATCGTTAACTTAAAGAAAACCAAAACCTTAATATTCCAGAAAAAACCCAGATGTCAGGGAAAGAAACACAGCTTCTCCCTTGGTATGACAAAAGTTAAAACCTGCCAAAAGCTACACATATACCTTGGGTAAAAAATAAGAACTAATGTAAAACTAAATTTAGCTGAATGAAAAAGCAAGAAGGGCCTTTTACGCCATTAAAAAAATTAACACAAATAAAAATTCCAGTTTGAATCTGGCTCAAAAATGTCCAGTAAGTGATTTAACCTATAGTACTAAGGAAGCTATTGAGTGAAGTGTGGGGTCTTCTCCTCAAACATAAGTTTGGTAAGTGAGAAAAATAATCCAATTGAAACCCTTCATGGAGAGTTCTGTAGGGGCATCCTCAGGGTACAGAGGAACAAACCCAGTAATGCATGCATGGCAGAACTAGTGCAGTATCCTCAATTCATGCATATTAAGAAACAAATTATCATATTTTGGAAACAAAAATAAGTGACCCCAAATCTTATCACTTCAGAGCCCTCAAAAACCAAGAAATGGACATAAAAAGAACCTTATTCAGATGGTCCTGAAGCTACAAATCCAAACCACCACAACAAATATGACTAACAGCAGGCTACATCAGAACACATGCTCATGCACAGAATTAAGCCCATTCAAATAATAAATACATGAAAAGAAGAGTGTCTGATTTACTGGAATGAAGCAGCACGAAAACAAAGTAAACTTAAATGTTATTTAGACCTAAACAGAGATTTTACACCAGCAACATATCTGAGTGCAGTAAAGGACAGTAAACTAAGAACAACAATGACCAAATACAGGCTCAGTGCTCACAGTCTGACTATAGAGATAAGCCGATACAGACAAAACTGCCAACCCAGTGAGAGCTGCATTTGCCAACACTGTGCCCAGGCAGAGGTGGAGACAGAGGAACACTTTCTCACCTTCTCAGTTAAATGTGGCTGCAACATTAAAGGTTTTAGTATTTTAATTAGTTTCTTTTCACAACAAGGGGCAGTGTACATTAACATTCCTCAAGAACATAAATGTACCATAAATTCGCTCAAAGGCTGGTTATATGGGTTGTCCCTTTGCCAGATGTTATAAGCCTATAAACCAATAAAAATGGATTTTCATATTATAAACAAAATTCAAAACCTAAATGTTGATGAGTCTTTTTAAAAACTGCTTTTCAGAGCTTATTGGAAATGTTCTCGTACCTCTGATGGATGGCTGCTGGTTTGCATGATGAGAGC